GAATTACTTGACAGTGACAGCCGTCACAAATTCTCAGTCAAAAAAACTTGATATCAAGAAAAACCACCATGCTCAAGACATTGTATCATTTGATCATAATGCAATGTTTATCGGCACAAAAATGAACTTAGGCTTCTTAGGCATAGTTAGAACACGAACTTGTGAGGAAGCGTAAGGACGCTGGAACCCCTACCACTATGTACACATTTGCCCTGCACAAAACTTATTTTTAAGAGCGAACCCTCTGTAAAAATCTCAACGTTTGATTCTTTTTACCTATCCTGCTGAAATGGAGCTGAACCCTTTTTTTTTCTTTTTTTTTTTTTTTTTTTTGCTAATTTTTCTCGGTGGACCAAAGTTTGTTTTCCCGGAGTTGGTTACGTTACGTGAAAATGGATCATATGTACTAAATTTGCAATAAGGAACCCCTAATTATGACTCATTAAAAAAAAACAAAAAATGTTTATATTAATTTTCCTACGTACAGATACAGATAGGTTAAAAATGACCCAAATATGGAAGTTCCCAATTGAAAAATGTAGTCCATATAGAAGTACTTGAAGCAGAAAAATGTTGTAGAAGCTAAGTGATTTGTGTTCCGAATCTATTCGATGGGGTTTCTTGTGCGGCGAGAGCGTAGCCGATTTGATTGAACGGCGTTTGGAGCGTCTTTTAAACGGCTGATTATAAAAGGAAGAAGAAGAAGGCGGAGAGAAACAGAGGCAGTTAAATATTGTCTTAGCCGAAAGTAATGGAGTCCCGGAGCCGGGGATGATATATGGGATTTTAATAGAGAGGCCCTTAGCCTCAGCCTCAGCCTCCGTCGCGTCGCCGCGCAGTCGCAGTCGCTGGATCCAGGATCGGGGATAATCGGGATCCAGCTCCGCTTTTTATTGCTCCCAGAAAAGGTCCTCGCTGCACACGCGTCAAAAAACACTATCACCCGGAGAAAAAATTCAAAACTCATCTTAGTATTTTATTAGGTATGGGAAGGATACTTGTGAGAGTAAAATTAAAAAAAAAAAATGAAGAAATAAAAAATAGAATCCATGAAATGAAATAGGTGCAAGAATAAAAATGAGGAAATTTTAAGTTATTTTTTTTCTAGCCACGCATTGTGTTTAACTAGATACATGAGTAGGTTTCTGAGGAGAGAGGGTTAGAAGGGAAAGAGGTGCGGACAAGCGAGGAGGACATTACAATTTTTCAGAATAAACGTAAAAGAAAAAAAAATGGATGGAATCCTAGTATTCCTGGTAATTAAAGAATACCAGAAAATCCCAGTATTTTTCAAATTTAGGCATAAAAAAAGGAGAAAAAATTCAAAGCAACTACACCGGAAAAATTTGAAACTCTCGGGAAAATGTGGTGGTTATGGAATACCAGCAATTTTTCCCCCCACAATGGACGTAACTAGTGTTGCACTAAACAGCATAACTCTTTGAGGGAAAACTGTGCTCATGTGAGCTTTTTCCCTTTGTATTGAGATTTTCAGCTATATGCTGAATTTTTAACGCACGTTGGCAAAAAACTCCAGCATACATGTTTTATATTTGTCTAACTTCCTTTGTCTCTTTTGTTTGCCTTTTTTCCCTCTTTTTTTTTGTTTACGACTACTACCACTTCCTCGTCTTCTTCCTTTCCCTCCTCAAAATGTATGATGTTCCAAGCTTATATGCTTAAATTAAGAACCTACGAAAGAATTCGTCATGGATCTTGCACAGGAGAAAATCGAATGTTCCCTAGCTCATTGAAGCTTGTCGCATGGCTTTATTTCAGTATTTTTTGCTGGCTCGTGGAAGCCTACACTGAAAAAAATATGCCGGTAGATTTTACCATCTCTGACACAGTGATACGAATATGGTAATAAACACCAGACTCTATGGTGGCATTTACCATACTATGGTAAGAATCACCAGAGTTCTGGCGAATACTACTATAATTCTGGTTATTTCCACTAAATAGTATCACTGTGTAAAAAATCAAGTAGACTCATAGTAAATGTCACCATACTTTTTTTTCAGTGTACCATTGAAACTCGACTACAGGGATTGGGCGAGTGAGTTGATTGCGCACTGTGCGGAGGGCTCTCTCGCTTGGGATCCCCCGTAAAAAAGGGTATTTTTAACACCCTCTCGAAGCCCGGCTCTCCCGGCGCGAGGCTCGAGGATCCAGGAGTGAGAACAGGGTATCATCCTCCTACTGTCTTGTCAATAGCTCTGTCCGCATGTTAACTTAACGCAGATACCCATCTGCTCGGATTTTTATCACTCAAAGCGCTGTTGGGTGGCGCTGTTTAATACCCACCATCCTTGTCCCAGATAACCTAAATCCCTACCCCATCCCCCAACCCCCTCCCAAGATCAGTCCACCCGTTCTAGCGGAACTCGTCTAGTCTTCAGCGTCGTTGCCACGCCCAGTTGAGGCAGCCAGTATTTAGGCCATATTTTTGAAAACTTATCGGACTTATTGAATTTGAGCCAGCGCGGAAATGAACACATTAGTGTATGATAATATTCAAATACACAACTAATACTTATTGTTGCTAAAAAATGTTCAAATGTTGAGTCACTTTTACCTTTAAAAAGATGTTGCTGCAATATTTGCTCGGTACTTTGTGAATTTTTGTTTAATATTTTAGACTTCAACGTTTTACTCGGTTAACATGAAAATCTATTCGAAACAAAGTTCCTTAAATATTGAATTTCACCATTTTCCTGGAAATATTTACACAAAAATCACACCTGAAAAAATTTGCAATGTTGCAAAAATATCACCAGGAGAATCCGGCGTAAGTGGATAGATCCGACAATATAACTAATCAGTAGATTTCCTAATCTAAAATCGTCTTTTCTAATTTTTGTAACTATTAATAATTTTCAATAAATTTCAGCTGAGCCAAAAAATTGTCATTGCTTTGAAATTGTTCCCACAGTATTACCAGTGAAATATCATAAATATGAATTTTGGCAAATCCGGCATCAGCGCCAGTTGAGCGGGTTCATCTGACGGTGTTCGGGGGCGACACTCAAAAATCGGGTGCCGATCTTGTTTTGATAGGAGCCCCATCCACCGCCCCGACTGTCGGGCTAGCACCCCCCCCCCCCCCCCCCNGGTGGGAGACCCGATATTGAGTTCGCAGCCCTCGGCGGCCCATTGTTTTACAGGGCGGGGAAGCCTTTTTTTAAACAATTTAGATGAGTCCTTCGTCACCTCAACCTACGAGACACCAGAGGAATCCGCCGTAAATTACTAGAACGCTTATCAGTATAGGGCATCAATCGTTGATAAGTAAATGACCCTAAGAGACCCTGTAGAGGAGTGATTTAGATCTAACGACGCTTGAGGCCCAAACCGACCAAGGGACCGCAGACAGAAAGGAACGCCAAAGTTAAACCGCTCATTCACGGGCCAACTTGCCGAAAATCTCCTCTTGTGTGTTTTAATTGTCAAGATTGCAATCTACTCAAGAACATCGGGTGACCCAAAATCATTGATATAAGCCTGAAAACCAATGACCTGATATATAACCCGAATAAAACGGGTTTTTAATTGTAAAAAAAAAAAAAAAAAAAAAAAAAAAAAAAAAAAACCCGATAGCGTAGGCGAATTTAAATGATCGCAAAGATTTCATTAAATGTTTTTTTACTATCTTGCCGTTTTATAAAATTCAACATCATAATTTTTTTTCTATTTAATTAATTTATTCTTTCACTATTTATTTCTTGACTCTACCTAAAGTCCTACATCTATGCTTTAAACCTGACAACTATTATTCTAGTAATTTATCGTAGTGTCAAAGAATTGTCCGATGAAGTACTTTCAAATCTTGCCGTTCTTAAATCCGTGTTGCAAAAGCAGATAAAATGTATTTTTGCCAATTTGGAACATTTTGGTAATTAAAGATACAGAATTTGTCGTGTATCCAAGTTACGCATCTTCATTAATTTTTTTTTTTTTATTTTATTTTAGTCAGCGATTATCAGCTAAACGTAGGATACCCAGACAGATTAATCATGTTACCTGGAAAGGGTAAGAAAGAAAAATGCTGGATCAATAAGAACCAAATGTTTCGTTAAGGTTACAACTTTTATTTGTCACTGTTACAGAACACAGAATCTGTTACATTTTATCTTTACCTACCCGTGAGTGGCGCCTTCGTGTATCTGTATGATGCTTATGATACTTCAGTGACGTTCGCAGCTCCTAAATGTTTTTGTGTTTTGTGTTTATTCACAGGCAAATGTTTCCGCAAATGAAGTTTAGAGTGAGCGGGCTGGATTTGAAAGCCAAGTATATCTTACTTTTAGATATTGTCGCCTCAGACGACTTTCGATACAAATTTCACAACAGGTATTTTTCTAAAGAATCGTTTTAGGCGCTTGAAATCCAAATCGAAAACCATACTTCTTCCCCATCAACCCAAGTTATCACGCCACACACCTATACATATAAAAAAATACAGTTTTGCCTTGAATCTGACAGTTTAATCACCGGATAACATAAACTGGAATTTTGATACTTTCAGCCAAACTTTTTTCCACGTTTCATCTCACCCATGCCATTTCCTCTCTCGTCTATGTATTTTTTTTTTTTTATCTTTTTTATCAAATCCACCCACCCAAAACTAGTTAATTACCTATTCTGATTTCACAGTCTCAAATTAATATATTATTCATTGAAATGTGTATTTATACAATCATATCACGTTTTAACTTGTGCGTGTGTATGTATAGGTAGTATATCTTGTAAGAAAATCCGAGTTGAGGTTCAATGGTTTAAAATACTCCACACTCCCTCGATCAGTAATGTTTTAGTGTGTCAAAATATGTTTTCTATTGTTATCCCGATTGAATTGATCAAGTTTATAAGCACACGAGTTTGTCCCCCCACTTGGGTCGGTGGTTGAATGAAGGATGGTTTTGATTGCTTCTTTTATTTTTTACGTTAATTTTTGTTTTTGTTTTAAGTTTTTTTTGTTTTCTTTTGTTCGATTATAGGCGCATGTTTCCTGCCTACAAAGTCAGAGTAATGGGTCTTGACAAAAAAGCCAAATACATTCTCCTTATGGACATCGTGGCCGCAGACGACTGCCGCTATAAATTCCACAACAGGTACATACGGCCCTTTTGGCTTCCTACAATTTTCAGTCTGTTTTTAGTTGGTGTATTCTCACACCCCAGAATACTTTGCTCTTTGTTTTTGAGAAGCTCCACAAGAAAATTGATTTGAGTCTGATTCAATAGAACTTGTGGGCATTAATTTTTCAAAAGTCTTCAGGATACGTTGTTACTCATTTTTGCAAAAATCTGCTTATTCACAGTGCGCTGCTTTTCCAAAAATCCGTCAGCATACTTACAACAAATGAAAGTTACGAGAATACTTCAGTTTACCAACTGGAAATTTTTGAAATCATTTGTCTAAATTCTAATTATTGAGAGAAAATCGTTTCGTCGAATTCTCATAAATTTTCTCAGAAATTATGTCGAAAAATATTTGTTTACCGTAAGATTTACCCTAGAAAATATTGAAAAGTAATATGCACCTCAAGATATTTCATTGTGGAGCTATGAGGATTTAGTAATACCATATGCCAATGTATCAGTACGTTGTGAAACTTTTCAAACTTCATAAGCATTTGACCATCATCAACGTATAGCTAATTTCTTCAGAACTATGAAAAGTTATCATTTTCGCGGAAACCTCTTTCAAAGAGTATAATTTCTGAGGCTTAGAACTACTTGAAGGTCTGCAGTATGCAATGATTTGACCAAAGTATGAAAATTTAACTAATCGATGATAACAGTGTAATTTACTTTCCTTATCACTTTTGTTTGGTAACGTCTGAATTTCCCAAGTTTGTCATTCTTAGAAACATATCGTTTTCATCAATAAGTTGGATAAGCAGCAGCAACGTTTCATGAAAGGAGTCGCAATAAGTTATGAAATGTGGTCGTTACAAATTGTCAAAATGAGGAACAACAAATTGACGTTTGCCGATTCAAATGACCATGAAATTTCCTCTAGCTCACAGTGGTACTTATAGTTCTTTATCGGTAGAACTTTACTCCAAATGATCATTTTTAGTACTAATGATTTACTTTCATTCCATGATTTTTGTAATTATTAAAATGCAACATTGTTGTGTGATTTCCATGAGTGTTGATAAAATGGAAAAATGTATTTGGCTCTTTTGTCAATTATATTTTATTCATGATTAAAAAGAAAAGAAAGAAAAATGATATCCCCAAGGGGAAAACAATAAAATAAAAAACTTCTCCAAAAGGTGAATAATGAGCATATTTTGAACTCTAATTAGCTCGAAATGTTTTTGATTTTAATAAGCTGTCTATCACATTTTGCTTTGTTACGTATTTTTTCATTCTCAAGAGAGTAGAGTCTGATCTTGTGAGGCTTAGCTCAAGGATCAATTTTTTTTTAAGTGCAAGACCATGCATGCGCGTCTTGCCTGATTTTTAACCTTATACATTGCACACATTGAGGATACTATCAGCTTTGGTGTTGTTGTTTTTTTAGTCGTACAATTGTGATGAATCGAGAATTTTTTTTTTTTTTTTTGTCACTACATAAGTATATTGTCGTAATGCCATCAATATTATGTTTTTTTTTGCTCCCCTCTCCCCTTCAAAAGAAGAAAAAGAAAAAGAAAGCAACTTGCAACAATTTCAAATTAACGATATAATAAACAGGTAAATTTTTAAGAGTCGGAAGGGGTCGGGGGCCCGCTAGATGAGAGAATAGTAGAGTAGGTTGAGCCCAGAACTTTTTTCTCCAAGTTTTCCGAAAAAGTTGCACATACACTTGGAGATAGAAATGAGATAGTAAGTTTATGAATACTGCTCGAGGGAACGTGCATATTATTCTAGTATTCTTACAAAACTACGATGAGATTTAGAAAAAAATAAGTACATGGGCACAAATAAAATACCGTCAAATGAAAATTTCAATTATAGACTGCATGGTTTTTAAGTGTTGAGTTAGGAAGGTAGTTTGACTCTCAAATATCTACATTGTATACTTGGACGGTGTCAACATATCAATAGCTTTCACAACACACTATAATCGACCCAAGGTAGCACACTTCTCACCCACCAGAAAAAATAGCAACATCCTATTATAACTGTCTACGTGCCAATTCGGACACGGTTAAAGAGGAAGAAAAAAATGAAACAAATTACCGATGTCCGTACTGATATGAGCCCTGAATGAGCTAAGAGTGCATGATTATGACGGATCATGTGCAGGTGTAAGTAGAATTGTTTCGACTCACGCTGCGCGTGTCCTAATGGGCTGAAGACGATCGCTTTCTGTGCTTCGGAATTTTGAGGACATTACGTGCGATCAAAGCGCATGTTCGGAGAATTAGTGGCGCTAATTTCCCTGTGAGGCGCCAGTTTGTCGGACGCTCTGGCCGCCACTGCCGCCGAATTCTGTCGCTTTAATTGCGCTCTGAATTAAGCCTAACCTACGGCCAAATCACATCCAGTTACCTGACGGTCGACTCACGAACAAGTGTCGCGTCGCCGTCCTCTAAGATTCATTTGAAAAGAAAGCAAAGGAGCCTCAATGAAGGGCCCAAGTTGTAACATGTAACAGTTAAACCTTTAGCAAAGAAGACACAATTTTTTACTCCCTTCAGGAACAACACACCTAGAATCTATCAACACAAATCGTCGTTTTCCAAACGAAAGAACGTGACGATATTTCAATGTTGCCAACTTTTCTCTCGTAATATTCATTTTTTACTCTCCTGATCTAATGTCTAAATATCAGAAAAAAAGAAATAAAAAGAAAAAATCAAAAGGAAGAAACGTCATATTCGAAACTACAGATCAAAGATTGCAACGAAAATACGTCGATGATAGATTTTTTTTGGCGGGGAGGGATTGAAAAATCTAACTTATCTCTATGAATGTTTTGTTCTTTATCTAAAGAGGTACACATGTTTTCAGAAGACTCATGAAGTATTTGCGATTTTTTTTAATGTTAAAGCGTATTGAATCACCAAAGCCGATACTATCCTATGACTATATAATTGCATGTCGCATGAAATCTATGTTGATACTAACAAGTGATTATCTAATTTATGAGTGGTCTAATGTTGTTCTGTTTTCTGTGCTCAGTCGGTGGATGGTGGCGGGAAAAGCGGACCCGGAAATGCCTAAGCGGATGTACATCCACCCCGACTCGCCCTCGACGGGAGAGCAGTGGATGCAAAAAGTAGTTTCCTTTCATAAGCTCAAATTAACCAATAATATCTCAGATAAACATGGCTATGTAAGTCAACATTTTCATTCTTCTTTGTCATTATTAATTTTACACGATATGGCAATGGTGAAATTGCTGACACGCGTATCTCAATTTTTCTCGAAAATTTATCGATTTTTTCTCTCTGCGTAAACAAATTCTTTAAACATGTCAAATAAAATTGTGGTTTGTTGTTTTTTAATAAGAGAAAATGCGAGCGGGGATTTTGAAACGAGATACGCGCTTCTGCGGTTTCATCGTTGTCTTTTGATATTTTTATCTTTGCGCATATATTATGGTATATTTTTAAGTTACCCATCAAACAGTCTCGGTAAGAACTTAATTCATAAAAAAAAGGGTAAAAATTTTCCATTTTTATATGAGAAATGAAGCATTTTCTTGTTTTTCATCGAATTTTTTAAAGGTATCTATTAATTTCTGAGATCATATTTGAGTAATCTCGATGCCAGCGTGTTGATAGTGCTGGGTTTGTGCTTATAAATGCACATAGAACATTGGCACTTATAGAACTGGGCCGTTTTAACTAGTCGATAATTAATAATGGAATTTAATGTGGGAAAGGCAGCGTTACCAAATTGCAAAAATCGCCACCAAATTTGAGCTACTGATTTTTCGTATCTGATCCATGCGTAATAATTTTACGTGCCTAAAATTGAGCGAATTTTGTCAAAAATCTACTCACAAATGATTTTTTTGTCGGGCGAGGAATATTTGCGAGGTCTAAAAATACTTAAATGAATTCAATGAACCGCCTGTCATCGACTTCGCTGATCATCGATTATTCCGTTGATTGAAGTTTAATTATATCCAGAGCTGATGTGATCATTTTTTTTCCTACGAACGAGAATCAGAACAAAAGAGGAGGAGGGAGGAGAGAGAGATAATAAGAAGAAGAAAAAATCAGAGTGAACTACGAATCGTTAATGGAATGCTCGATTTCTTAATTGGCTCTGCCACTTTCTAATTTGGTCTTCTTTTTATTTGCTTCCTCCAGTCCTCTCGTTTTTGGTTTCTCGTTGATGACCGTTTTTGAAGATGACTGTTCACTTTTGATCGAAAAGTCTGTTACAGATACATCAGCTCAAAAGCTCCTTTCTAATCAGATGATGTAGAGTATAAGCGCAGTGGCAAGTTCCTTGAAAATGTTCTAAGTGTCAGTTTCAAGGGAACGTGTTAAACCTTTATATGCATAACACTCACCGAAAGTTGAATTTTTCTTTAAAAAAAAAATGGTCATCGTCCCTCACCTGTGTGCGCGAATAGACTTTTATTCTTAATTCCCTAAAGTAATTATTTTCTCTCAATCGAGTCGTTGTGATGTTGGCGCCGTTATAAAATTATGAGAATTTAATGTGCGGATTATCAAACGGATTTATCAACTCATTTCGCTTTTCACGGACTTCTTTTGAAAATGACAATTTAAGGCGGTCTAAATACGAGATTTTCTCTAGTGTGAAAGATTTTGTATGGCCGTCAATAAATTGTGCTCCGCGTTCGGTTAACTCGGACAGTGAAGCATGCGCGGCACTGTGGCTGCGGCTGCGAAGTCGGTCCGCAAGCAATGCCTTCAATTGCGGTCGATGCAACTATACATACACCAAATCGGGATTTCTCGGTCAAGCAACATTTTGATGGTTAAAGCTATTTTTCTCCTCCTAACAATAGTTTTCAGATATTTCCACGAATAAAATTGTTTCACAGACTGAATTTAAGGAAAATATGGCAAAATTTGGAGGCTACATTTTTTCGTGCGTTGAGGAATGAGAAAAATGCTTTACCTGCTTCTGAAAACGATGAAAACTAAAAACAATGGTTAAAAATGGTTCTTAAATTAAAACATGGCTCTCCTCGGAAAAATAATTTCAGGTTAACGATTTATAATTTTAAAATATAAAGAAATATTTCTTTTTTCAATTCAGACAGATGAAACCTTGCCATCGAGGACATGTTTAACATTCTTTAAATTAAACTTAAAAATCATTTGAATTGCAAAAAAATTATTTGACGTAACATGATTTTTCTTTACATAAATAAATACAAACCTCGAAAAATGTATAAATTCATGTAGAATTTTATTTTTGTTTAAAAGTATGTTTTAACTATTATGTAAAATTTATTTCACTCAGCATCCTCTAAAAGTTAAAAAAAAGCACACGAAACTGAAAAGAAAAGAGATTGCAGACTCGGTTTTGAAAAGAATCCCTTCTAAAGAGGGAAGACGCCTGGATGCGTCGTAAATCAAGACAAGGAGGAAGGCAAGGGAAAGTATCAGTTTGTGAGGGGATAACAAATTGATTGTTTGTTTGGAGTTGTAATCAAGCTTTGATCCGAGGGCCGAGGGGGCTCAAAGAGCCGGAAAAATCGCAGGGCGGGCGGAAATTCGATAGGATTCGATTGTTTGCCGTGTACTTAGCGGCCAAAGAGTCTCAAACAAAGTGAGGTTAATTAACAACGGTAGTTGCCCTGTTTGTGTTGACCGTCGAGCCAATCTTGAGCTGACCGCTTCGCTTGTCCATTTTTGGTTCGTCAAACACGATACGTCTCTTGACCCTCGCCGCCTCGCACCGATTCCCTCGCTCCCCCGCAGGAACAGCGCATCTCCTTGTGCACACCAACGGAGGAATATGCTCATATATACGCAGGACAGGGCTCGGCATTGCATGGAGTTATGCTCTTTTGCCAGAAAGCTGGTGGCTCGTGAGCTTCCTGACGGGCCTACTCCGGCGCCGCCCTGCCAGGGACAATCTAAATAAAATATACTTTCCGCTTGTTATCGTTTTCCATCCAGATTGACTCGCGCCAAAACGGCTGGATTGTGTTAAAAAAATTTTGATTGTACTTTTTTTAAATTAAAAATGAATGAAAATGACGCAGTGAAAAAACTCGTTTCGGCTCTAGTGGCCCTAAATACTAATAGTATTTTAAAATAATAATAAATACCATGCAGGGAAAAAATACCATCATATCAGTAGGAAAATTTTATGGGTTTCAACCGAATTCAGTCCAGGTGTATTTTACGTTGCCTTATTTTTTCTCGTTTTTTATTGATTTTAACAAAAAACTGAATTTTCGAGTCTTAGGTTAGGAGTATTTCAGTCACAAAATTTCAAGTTGCCTCTAACACATCCTCATAATTTCAAAAAGAAACTTGATAAAAACTAAGTAAGTGTTTGAACTTGCGACTCTTATTGTCTGCGCTAGAGCGCACTCTGCAAAATTTCCAGAGCAATTTTTAGTCCAGTTGGAAGATCAGTCGAAAAATCAGATTTTGAGATTTCAACAGGGAACTCACTCGGCCTTGAAGATTATGTGGCGAGAGGTTTAGTTCACTTTCCTGCTAATAGCTGTGAGAAAGTTACGGTTATATTTTCGCGATTTTACTTTGCGAACTTGACGTCTACAAATTTTAAATGACTTTTTCTGGACATTATGTTTTGAAGTGAAAATTGAAAAGCGCCGTAAATCCGGTTTTGTTTGAAATTTTTGGGGACTTTTGTCCCAAAAATCCTCGTGAAACATTCTTTTAGGTTCCACATATAGTATCACTAACTCAATTATGAGTATTTGTGCGAGACCAATACCTCTCCACCCCTAGATGGCCAAACACAAGTTGGCGCATTGTTCGTAAAAAATGAATATCCCAAGTTTTGGAATGATCAGGTTAGGAAAGAGAAGGAGTAGGAATAAATTATGGAGACAGGGACTAAAAATCCATACTGGAGTTTTAACTGCCCTTGTTTTTTCCCGGTGTGACGTGCTTTTGAAAAAGTATCAGTTAGCTTTAGACGGAGCGGCGTGACAGTTTCTCACCGGTTCTCGGCTCTGAAGGGCGAGGGTGAGGGGTTGTTTTGAATATATTTCCGAGGCAGGGGCTCCAGCCTCGGCGTGATTTATCCGCTGCCCGCTCGCGCGCCGCCATTTTCGGGTGCTAAACCTCTTCGCCTCGAGGGGTTCTTACAACACTTGCTCTAAACAATGTGTTTCGACGGGGATAAATTTGCATTCCCAACCGTTAACAACGCCTTCTGTCACGCAACGTAGGCAACCTGTTTAACATTAGGTGCCATTTTTCGAGCCAGCTCCACACACCTTCCCCGTGCACGGCTCACGCCCCTCGCCCCACACCCCGCGCCCCGCATTCACCCCTAAAAAGATCCATAACGCGGCCGCACGACAGGGTTGCAAAATTGCCTCCTTATTTTCACGTAGTTGGAATCTAAGCGTGAAATTACGTTAATTCCACTGGATTATCTTTGCGTCATTGTTATAACCCATTTGACTCGTCAATTTTTTGTGTTTAGTTTTAGTTTTATGTATGCCGGCCCAATTTCGATGCCTTTTTATATATTAAAAGATAATAATCTCTAGAAAATCTCAGGTTGTCATCAAAGTTTTTTATAATCATCAAGGATTTTCCGTACTTTGAAACGGGTCTTTAAAGGCTTGGAGCGATGGGTAGGGAACGTGCCGCATAAGAGAAAAAAAACTACAATATCGAATCACCCATACGCTGGTCACTATAAATAGTATTGCATTGTCATTATACATAAATATGGATTGGGAAATAGTTCAGCATGTTTGCCCTTGATTTACAGTGGTTTGAGCTACATAAAACAAGAATGCATGGTTCCAAAATTGAGATAGCTTTAAGAGAGAACTACCTACATGAAAGTTGTAAGAGTTGGGAGTAAAAAAAAATTTAATCAACTTTATCATAGCTTTGGAAAAAAATTGATGGTTTTCAAAACTCCCTGATTTTTAATGACCATAAAAAATAATTTAAACTGCTGTCCTGAAGAGAACAAGAACATTCTTATCTTAATTTTATTGAATGACTCAAGCAGTTTGCAATGTTTATGTCCTCAAAAGCTTAAAACTTTTTATTTTCATTGTTTCCGAAGGAGAGCATGATTACTCCTGAAATTTCGTTCAGGAAAAACATGAATCTTTAGTCAGTTGCAACGGAAATGCAAAACGCAATGACCCTGAGATAAAAGAGAGACATTGGTGTCGGCGCTTTGCATAGCCGCTGTAGTTGCACGTGTCCAAAAGCATAAAAAATTACCTGTAGATTTTGTTTCTGTTTGTTTTATAGTTATTTTCGGTGAGTAAGGCTGTAGCAGCCAGCCACTTTCGTTTCTGTACGTATGCTCAATTATTCATTCTACTAGATTAGTCAGTCTTGAGAGTGTCCTCGTCATCAACAGCAAAGACTTGTCAAAGTATCCGTCCAAATTTAAAATCAACTTCTTCCATAGACCTTTTGATTTATTTTTGAGTGATTATATATATCAGTGCTCGTGAGTTGAAAAGGAAAATGTCAAATGTTGTTTTTTCTTTTGCATTGACAGATTATCTAAAAACACGCAAATTGATGAGAAGTGAAAGGTACAACAAACTACAACCAAAATTTGCGTCAAAATTCGAAATAAAAAAATAAAGCTCATAAAATCAAGGTCGGAGCCCTATACGAAACTCGAACTTCTGAACTGCGAGAAAAATAACTGCGACTATTCATATTTTCTAATTTTTATATGTTCAATAATGTTCATTCATTTTCCTGTCAACGAATATCAAAGTCAATGCTATAAACTACCATAAGTTCCCTTATCTGAACTATTGGTCACGGATTGTTGACAAATCTTTTGACTCAATGATTTTTATTTGAATTTTTACATATGAGATTGACGTCGAGGGAAGTAGCTGACTGCGGCAACCTTATTTAGTTGATTGAAATTAATTCTGTGAACTTTTTTCATAATTCAATATTTCATAATTTCAAAATTCCCCATGTGTGCACAAAATCCAATGAAGATATGTCGTTATAGAAATTGGTCAAAAAATGTGGACTCCATTCTCTCTTTGATTACAATCCATCTGTAGCTCACCTAAGTGCAAGCACCAACACAGCATATTTTTACATCCTGAAATATTCGCGTTAAATAAATATTAAACAATTTGAAACTAACTTAGTTACAGTCAAGAAAAGTGTTGTAAATTGAAAATCTCTCTGTGGAAGAGAACAATATTATACTTTTTGAATTTTGTATCAGAGCATATTTAAGAGGATCATAAGAACCAAGAGCTAATCGATCTTTTAAATATCCATTGCTTGCCAGAGTTATCTCTCAAATTCTATCGGACCGATTTAGCTTTTTGTTTCTCTTCCAGAATGTTGGTAAAAATCCTTGGATTAATCCGCTGTCCAAGAGTTTTTTAAATTAAAATGCAACTTTTTGATGCTGCGAAGTTGTTGCGTTAGCCAAAAGTTAAGCTGCATAGCAGGCATATCGTGAGCCATTTTACAATAAATTAAAAAAGTGCGGGTACTGTAGAATCCATGCCTGATTTGCTTGGCTATAATAGGAAAGAAAAAAAAAATTGTTGAAAACTAGAGTTCATTTCCTTCCACGCGGTCAATCCATTCAAAAAACAATTTGGAGTCTTACATTCATGTCTTGCTTAAACCACTTTCGTGGCAATGGTGGCAATATTGGCAACTTCAAAGCGATACCTAGCTATCAAAACTCGACGAAATCCCGCCATTTTTGGGTCCGGAGGAACCTGCATAGGTCTAAGTGTCCATACGCTTCATGAAAGTACACTATGGACTATATCAGAGCTCGAGATGGAGGATGCAGGGTCCATGCCCAAGAAGAACGAAGAGTTAATTGAGACGCGAGCAACTGCGGAGTGACGTCACGGAGGAGGGATAAGGGAGCGGTGCGCGGCGGTGGAGGGCAGCGCTAGGGCCCGCGAAGGGGCTCAACGGATGATTGGGAGATAGACGAAGGAGAGGCAGGGGCCCGCGGCCGGGGCGNCGGCGGGGGGAGGGGGGCAGGAGGCGCGAGATGGAATAGGAGAGTGTATTAGTGAGATTTTGCGGGGAAGCCACACCCTATCAACACTCAAGCACTCTCTCTTTGACACACGAGCGCTTTGCGGGCGTGGCATCGAACCGCCTGTTTCACACCAAGCCAAACGGCCCCATTCCGCCAACGCCGCCGCCGCACTCACCATTATTATTCTACAATCTTATTTTTCTCACCCCGAGGCCCCAACGCATCCTAGCTTCCGCGATGCAATCCTCGGAATTTGCCAGCGATCATCTCATTCTCGTGTTTTGGGTTCTCTTTACTTATGATATGAGCTCTAACTCAGCTTATCCTATCCAGAAATAATGAATTATAGCGTTGAAGCTGACATCTTCCATTTGTATCATTTTTAATATCACCCGAAGGACAGTGATTTAATTACCCCACTCGCGCGGTGCAAGTTTTATTATGTTTAATTTTCTTTGGATCCTAAGTCTGTTTGCCCCTCGGATTTTCCTAAGCACTATTGCTTTTATTTTCTTTCTTTTTTCACTTTATTCTTACAAGTAAGGATAGAGTTCAATAATTCTTAATTTTACAAACTGCTGAATGTCATAAATAGAAAATCATTGCGTCTACAAAGCTACTTCCCTACCACCACCTCGTAACGCACCCATAGGCTACACACCCCGAAAAATAACGTAATGCTCAGTTCGATCTCCTTCCCTTTGCATCAGTGTTTCGTGATACATTTTGGTCGAAAAATTGCCACCTCACGTTGTATTTTCACCTTAGATTATCGAAAAATCAGCGTCATGCGCCTATTCTGAAGTTAAATACGTAACGCATCCATGAACCCCCCCTATTCCTCCGTATAACGCATTCGTAACGTGAGCTCAGAGGCTTCTCCCCCCAGCGTTACGTATTTTATGGACAAAGTCGCATAAAGCGCCCAACCAAAAGACCTTTGCCCCATTTAAATCCATTCACTGGAAAAAAATTACCACAATCTCAACTATACCTCCAGCTGATTTTGGCGCCAACCATGAATGTAGTTTCACCAGGTAGAAGTGCGTAAAGGCACCAGCCAGCGGTATAGTTAATCCAACCACACTTTAAGCCGACTTAACTATACCTTTGGATTGTGCAACTACTCTTAATATGTGGCGCCGAAATCAGCTAGGAGTATAGTTGGGATTGTGATACTTTTTTCCCCGTAAATTGCACATAATTGACTGGAGGGGACTGCATGTCTCAATGAATATGGATACTGTATTAGATACCTTTAAATTGAGAAAAAGCATAGTTGTCAAGTCAGGATAATCTTTAGGGATGTTTAGTGACGTAAGCCGGTCTGAGGCGTGTGAATGGAGAAATCGGAAGAGCGGTCGGATGAGATGGGCGATGGGCGCTAATCCGCTATCACTCAAAGCGAGCCGCCACCGCGGAACGGACACTACGAAAACCTAAGCCGCTTCCTCTTGACTGCCACCCTCTTGCGTGGGCCCGTGGGCCCGTGGGCCCATCAGACCCGCGTATCGATGTAATTGGTCGCCCGAGACGCCACCGGGATTTGGTCAAGAGGGACAGGGGCCCTTCGGCCAATGCGAGGCTCTCAGGCGGAAGCCCACGGATAATGGGCCCTTTGCCGGGACCCCGATGCCGCTTGAGTCCTGAGTCACCGACCCGATTTCAGAGCAAGGAGTTACGTTTAGCTTAATCCCCATTCAAGGGACACTCACCGACACCTCACCTGGACGTCCCTGTGTTTTACGTATCAATAACATCTGGAGCGGGTTCATTGTCGAATCGAAATCATCGATATGACGCTATGTCTATCTCAGCCATGTTTTTTTTATCAATTTGACGTCATTTCATACATTGAAAAAAAGTATAGTAACATCTACTATAAGTCTACTTGATTTTTTACACAGTGATACCATTTAGTGAAAATAACCAGAATTATGATAGTATTCACCAGAATTCTGTTGATACCTACCATAGTATAGTAAATACTACCAAATAGTCCAGTATTTATTACCATACAAGTTTCACTGTGTCCGAGTTTGGTAACATCTACTATATTTGTTTTTCAATGTAACGATTCAATGACGAACCTGCTGCTCTTGCTAAAAATATCGGTTATTTCGATGTGAATTCTCAATGAAACGTAGTCGGAAGTTCCTCTACGATGGTGACGCTTTTTCAGCTCGTATTCGCGTAATAAAACACGATTACCGAGACTCATGGCAAAATGTGTACAGCGTTCCTCCTTAGCTTCATCATTTAAACTAAAGCGACATTCGCGCATGCAACTATTCGAACTCTGCGAATGTATTCTTGCCTACACAATCAATTGAAGGCGAAATGCGATTATCGGGATAAGACTTTAGCTGGTATAAACGAATGATTGACGAAACAATAGTTGAATATGTAATTATTTAGCGGATACTTGGTTGCGTTCACGAAAAATTGAAGTTCGGGGATTCGTCGGATTGCGGCTTCAATCACATACAAATTAAAGGTTGATGAATAAACGCCTGAATACTAATATATGTACACTATTTTAACTCTGCAGATAATTTGTTGCCTACACAAAAAATCTAAGGCAAACTATTTCTCTCGTGCCGCGATGCATTAAGTTAGTTCAGAGTCGTCAAAATTTGCTTCCCCTGTCCGTTTTTTCCTTCCCGTAACTCAGCTTATTTTCAAGATGCTAACTATTTACATTTCATCAGTTCGTAAGCCGAGAATAAAATAAAGTACGAGTTGACCACGAGAAATAAAAGATTTATTGGGTTTTTCTTGTGTGGGAAAAAACGGGAATGTAAGCCTACGAACCTATTTTATGTATTAATTGACACACTCGTGATAGACCGTGACTCATTTTGGGGGTAAAAAACTGTAAATAGAGCAATAAATCGGCCGGGACCCTCTTGAGCCCACCTAACAGTAAAAGTAAGATAAAAGCCCTTTAATTTGAGAATTCCTTGTCGCCTAACTAGCGGAGGCAGGTAAACGCCCTTTAAAGAACACAATAAAAAGTTTTTATCTGTTTGAAAGTGCACCCTCGCCTCCTACTTGTTCGCTTCTGATTTTACCCACCCGGGTGAGAGGGTTACGATTTTGGGCGAGTCGCTCACAGGGTGCATTTACGATTACTTTTAACCAATTTTCACCTGGTTAACTAAAATAAGTCAAATTTAGCGAGGTCTAAAATCCAGGAAAACAAACTTAACATTCAAATGTATCGTACGTAGTACATCCACTTTCAATCTTGGAAGCTCGA